AAAAAGTAAATCAGAGCTAAAAAAGTGCAAAAACGCAGGCAAATTTGCCTGCGTTGGTCTACATATTAAGAGATAGGACCTATTCTTGGATCAGGGTTGGAAGGACTTGACCCTATGCAGTATTCCTTAATAACCTTCTCTATAGAACTATCTGTTGGAACTCAGTTTAGTTTTTGGAAAATTGCGAAATACTACTTGAAAGAATATAGAAGGCAAAATGGTTTTGCAAAAAAGCGGTATAGAGTTGAACTCCATAAGAATCATAGAGTCAAAAAATGAACATTGGCTTGTGAAAAGATAGGCAAATACAAGCCTAATAAATTAAAACTCATCAGCCAACAACGTAATAAAGGCTCAAAGAGAATAAATTGTAAATAGCACATTAATTTGAGTAGTCCTGAATATACTCATTATATGCACATAACTTTTGTTTATCTGGAACATAATCATTTAATCAATACTGATAATAAAAGGTTTGCCACAGCATTTAGACGTTTTGATGAAAGTATAATAGCTTAAATAGAACATGTAGTGGTGTATAGTCAATGTGATGCATATATAATAAGAAACTTGCTTTAACCAAAATTTTCTGATCAGTTATTTCTTACACAAGATCTTTCTAATGCAATTCAAAAAATTAAATGCAACAAAAAGATTAAAAGGTCTGACGCTTCTTATTTGCTAAAATTTCTTTTTATCAACAGAAAGAAGAACCTATGATGTTTGTACAACCACTAATTAATGTAGATAGTAATCAGTTATGTGGTATATTTTGAATGACAGCTAACCAAATTTTATTGTGGTTTTGCTATTTTGATGTCATTTTGCATGACAATACTTTAAAAACAAATAAATACAATTACCCATTATTATTATTTGTTCTTGTTGATAGTGAAGGTAAATTGCATCTTGGTGCACAAGCTTTTTTAAATGATAAGATACAAGAAAGTTATAAGTGGGTCTTGCAGCAAACACTGGATGCAACTAGTTTTGAGCCATATGTTTTTATCACTGATATGGATCCCACAATAAATGCTGCATGTAAAAACATATACAAAAACACATATCACATATATTGTATTTAGCACTTGTCACAAAATTTGCCAAAAAGACTCAAATCTAAACTTGGTCATATGAAATATAAAGAATTTATTAATGAATTCTGGAAAGCTCAAAATTCATTGAGTGTTAATGTTTTTGAACAGCAGTTTCAAGCTTTAATTGAAAAGTATCCTAATGCATAGGATTACTTGCATAATACACTTTATTCAACTCAACAATCCTGGGCTTGTGTATTTGTAAACAAAATATTTACTGCGGAAATGCAATCAATGCAACACGTTGAATCAATCAATGCCCTTATTCACAAAGAAGTTTCTTCTAGTTCATGTATGACTGATGTAGTTGAAGCTATTGATTCTTGGATGCAAAGAGAAGCCTTGAATGCAAGTTTTACAAATCATTAGTATATTACCAGCCATTTATTATAGAATGATTTTTTGGTAATATTAAGGAATTGATTCAAAAACATTTATCATATCAAATTATTGAAGAACTTAAAAATCAAATGTGTGAATCAGTTCTTTATCAATGTAAAAAAATAGAGATCGATTTTGCTATTAAATTTAATAAGGATTAGTTGGTATATATAAGTTACATAAATTTTATATGTCTGAAGTAGCATATTAGGTATAACTAAAGGATACTTGTTTTTTGTTTGAAACAAATAGTAAATCAGGAAGAACATAGTGATGAATCCAATGAAAGTGAAATAGTAAAATAATATTACACTGAAATTTGTTATGTTGAATGGCATGATTTAAATACTACTCAAACTGCTATTCGAACTACTATTCAACACTATCACATGATTTCACAAACATGTCTGCAAAGTTATGTGATAGTGTTGAATAGTAGTTTGAATGGCAGTTTGAGTAGCATTCGAATCATGCTATTTAACATGACAAATTTTTAAATTTTACTAGTGTTTGTAAACTATGTAAGTTTAGAAACCTGATTATATACTGATATGTAAATATTATATATTATATTTACTTTAGGACATAGATAAAGACGAAGCCGTTGAAGATTATTATGACTTCTGGCAAATGTATTTAAAAGCCTTAATGAGTTCAGTTTCAACTAATACAATTAAAGAAGTCTGGTGAGTTATTCCCTACATAGTACCAAAAAGTTGTTCTATAATAAATGGCTAGTGATATACTAATGATTTGTATTTCCATATTATAAAACTTGTGTTCAAGGCTTCTCTCTTCATCCGAGAATCAATAGCTTCAACTATATTAGTCATACATGAAATAGAAGAAACTTCTTTGTGAATAAGGGCATTGATTGATTCAATGCGTTGTGTTGATTGCATTCCCACAATAAATATTCTGTTCACAAATGCACAAGCCCAGAATTGTCAAGTTGAATAAAGCGTATTATGCAAGTAATTCTGTGCATTAGGATACTTTTTAATTAAAGCTTGAAACTGCTGTTCAAAGACATTAACACTCAATGAATTTTGAGCTTTCCAGAATTCATTAATAAATTTTTTATATTTCACATGACCAAGTTTGGATTTGAGTCTTTTTGGCAAATTTTGTGACAAGTGCCAGATACAATATATATAATATATGTTTTTGTATATGTTTTTACATGCAGTATTCATTGTGGGATCTATATCAGTGATAAAAACATGTGGCTCAGAACTAGTTGCATCTAGTGTTTGCTGCAAGACCTACTTATAACTTTCTTGTGTATCATCATTTAAAAAAGCTTGTGCACCAAGATGCGATTTACCTTTACTATCAACAAAAACAAATAATAATAATGGGTAATTGTATTTATTTGTTCTTGAGGTATTGTCATACAAAACGACATCAAAATAATGAGATTACAATAAAATTTGGTTTGCTGTCATCCAAAATATGCCACATAACCAATTACTATCTATATTAATTAGTAGTTATACAAACATCGTAGGTTCTTTTTTCTGTTGGTTGAGAAGAAATTTTAGCAAATAAGAAGCATCAGACCTTTTAACCTTTTTGTTATATTTAATTTTTTGAATTGTATTAGAAAGATCTTGTGTAAGAAATAACTAATCAAGAAATTTTGGTTGAAGCAAGTTTCTTATCATATATGCATTACATTGACTATACACCTATACTTGCTAGCAAAACCCAGACAAATTTCAAATAATAAAAAAACAATTGCTATTTATAAAAGGTTAAATCAAATAAATAATTTTAA